ATAATAATAATAATAATATATTATCAATATTATTGTTCGTTTCTTTTTTTGCAGGAACACTGAATGACCAAAAAAAGCACCAGCACCAGTCCTAAGTTCATGCTTACCAAGTTTTAATTTTAATTACTAAACTTCTATTATTAAATAATACTTGATTACCATATTATAATGCTTGACTGATATTTGTTTTATTATTATCATTATATGATATTATTATAATGCTTGACTTTCAGATATTTAAAAAGCTGTACCATTTTACAAACATTATATATGTTTGTAAAATGGCATAACATTAGTATTTCAGTCTGGCGAGTAAACAAAAAAAAATTTACTAGCCAATGGTGATTCAATTGCCAAGGTGTCCGTAGAGGGTTGTTTTTTCTCTTCTCTTTGGAGCTTGACAGCCCATGGTTCCCATTCACTATTGTTATATAAAAGACAGAAGCTCAGACATTCTGCTAAATTCCCTACCTTGTCAGTCATTTGGGCTTAAAATAATATGAGGGTAAATAAATATTAACAGAATTTTCATTTGTGGTTGGACTATTCCTTTAAAAAAATGTATTAAGACAAAGAGAAAATGTATTGCTGTGCGAGTAAAAAATATTACAGTGTATATTACCTCTCCTCTGGCACCCCGGTGAGCTGTGCAGTCCTGATGGCACTGGCCCCTCCCCCACTGTTAATAAATTCAATCTGCTCCCTCTCCTCACGCTTCTTGTGGAGGTCAGAGTTTGCACTACGCCGCCGGCTCTTCCACCTGTTCAGATCCTGCAATGACAGAGGTTAAAATTGAGTGATTAATGAAGAAATACCGCGAAAGAAAAAAAAATCTGTCTGACAATAACATCAGTCTGATGCGTGAATGATCTTAAAAAAAATAAAAAATAAAATAAAAAGGGTGGGGGGGGGCAAAAGAGTCTTCTCCAAGGCCAGTCCAAAACTAAACATTACTGTTTTTATTTGGCTCACTGAGGACCCCCACAGTGCCAACTCAGACATAGCAACATCTAGGAGAAACCTAAAGATGCTTTAGGCAACATTTTATGTTGTTTTATGTTTTTATAACACACAGAAAATGTTGCCAGAATCGGATGTCCTTAGGAATTACATTTTCCTCTGTGACTAACCTAGCCTCCGAAAACAGCCAAAGTAAATACTTAGCTCACCTCCCTCCCATTTTTATATATAATTTATATAAAAATTATATTTTTTATATACATATACAGTGCCTTGTGAAAGTATTCACATTTATTTCACATTTTGTTATGTTGCAGCCTTATGTTAAACTGCTTTAAAATTACTTTTTTTTCCACATCAATCTACACTCCATACACCATAATGGCAAAGCAAAAACAGAAGTCACAACTTTGTAAATTTATTAAAAAAAAAATTAAAAACCTGAAAAAAGGACATTGCATAAGTATTTATTAACTCATTACTTAGCTGAAGCACCTTAACAGCCTCAAGTCTTTTTGGGTATGATGCGACAAGCTTTGCACATCATCATTTGGCAATTATCGGTCATTCTTCTCCTCGCCTCTTCACCTCTCAAGCTCTGTCAGGATGGATGGGGGCAAACGCACATTTTCAGGTTTCTCCAGAAATATTTGATTGGGTTCAAGGCCAGGCTGTGGCTGGGCCACTCAAGGACATTCACAGAGCCATCTATAAACCACCCTTGCTGTGTTTAGGTTCATTGTCCTGTTGGAAGGTGAACCTTCTGCCCAGTCTGAGGTTCTGAATGCTCTGGACTAGGTTTCTCATTAAGGCTATCTCAATATTTTGGTGCATTGAACTTTTCTTCTAATCTGACGAGTCCCTCAGTCCCTGCCGCTGAAAAACAGCCCCACAGCATGAGACTGTTACCAGTACACTTTACTTTTTGGATGATACTCTGCAAGGTGATGGGCAGTGCCTGGTTTCCTTCAAACATTATGATTGGAACTGAGGTTCATCAAACCAGAGAATCTTGTTTCTCAACAGTCTAAGGGTCCTTTAGGTGCTTTTTTGCAAATTCCAAGTGGGTTTTTGGGTGTCTTCACTGAGGAGAAGATTGAGTCTGGCCACTCCGACATAAAGCCCAGATCGGTGGAGTGTTGCAGTGATGTTTGTCCTTCTGTAGGTTTCTCCCATCTGCATATATGATCATGGAGCTCAACTAGAGATACTATCAGTCTAGACAAGGCCCTTCTGCATCAGTTTGGTCAAGAGGCCAGCTCTAGGAAGAGTTCTAGTTGTTTCAAACGTCTTCCATTATGGATAATGAAGGCTACACGATTCTGTGAACCTTCAATGAAGCAGAATTTTTTTCTGAACTCTTCCCCAGATGTGTGGCTTGAGGCAAACCTGTTTCTGAGCTCTACAGGCAGTTCTTTTGACCTCAGGGCTTGGTTTTTGCTCTGATATGCATTTACAGCCGTTAGACCTTTTATTAAAATGTGTGTGCCTTTCCAAATCATACCCATTCAATTGAATTTGCCAACTTATGTTGAATTTGTTAACTTCACTTGAAGTGTAATAACATCTACAAGCAATATGAATGCTCCTGAGCTAAATTTCAGCTGTCCCAGATAAGGGTTTGAATACTTATGCAATGGAATCATTTCCATTTTTTATTTTT